CCCCCCCCAAGCTGACAGAGGTAGTGACTGAATCGACTTCAGAGCAGGTCAGTGTAGGTCAGTGTTCAGTTTATGGCTTGACTTGCAAGACTTAAAATATTTAGACAAGTGTACCTTACAGAGGACTGCCCAGTATTTTAGCTTTGTGTTATTTTGTTTATTGTACCTCTCTTCTGTTTGCAGGTAGTGGAATATGGCCTGTTTGTGAAGCACTATAAGGTTGAAGTCTATCTTCTTGAGCTGAAGCTGTGTGAGAGCAGTGATCCTGAAGATGTAGTTAGTTGCCACTTTAGCAAAGCAGATACTGTTGGTAAGTAGTTCTCTGGTACATGAAGCTGTGCTCTGGTGCTATCTCAAGACATATTTTGTACCCTTGAGAACAAGAACGATGTTTATAAACTGGAGCAAGTCTAGTGGGTAACAGCAGGACAGTCAGGGTTGGAGCATGTGAGAAGAGACTGAGGAAGCTGCCTTGAGCCTGCAGAAGACAAGGCTTTGAGGGGGATGTTGTAGCGCCTATGAAGAGGTTGTGGAGTCAGGCTATTTACTGAGTCACAAAGCAAGCAAACAACAGACAGTAGTCTTAAGTTGAAATAGCAAAGATTCCAACTGAACACAATAAAAATGTTTTCCCTATAAGGACAGCTACATATTTGAACAGGGCCCTGAGGGATGGGGGAATCTCCTGCCTTGCAAGTTTTGAACACCTGATTGGATAAGCCCCAAGCAGCCTGGTATGAATTCAGTGTTGACCCTGCTTTGAGTGGTTGGACTGGGAATCTCCCAAGTTTCTTCCAGCCACAGTGATTTTGTGTGCAACACGGGGAGCTGTGGTTAAGAGCTCTGAGGAATACATTGCTTACTAACTTGGTGTCCTTAAACATTAACGTCACTCATGTGAAGCAGTTCTGTCTCTGGTGGTCCTATGATTCCTTCTTCCTAGCATGTGAATATTTTAGACATCTTAATGGTTCTTCCTACACTTCTTCCTGAAATTCTACTCCCCTCTCTCTTTCCCCCTCTCTATCTATTATCGCTCTATTTTCCCATATAAAATGCTGAATGTCAGCTGTCATACATGTCTGTAAAGATGCTTTTTTTCAGTTTCCTGATGTATGGCCTGACACTAGTAACTGAAAACACTTTCTTCTTGAATCTATATTTTCAAAGGATGGATATTTCACAGAAGTTGGCCTTTGAGCAGAAACTTCTTAATGTGTTTCAAACATTATTGGCCTGAGGGCTTGACAAGCAAATACACGACTGAAGCGTTCAGACTAAATATTAGACAGATTATATGAGCAATTGTGATTTCCGTGATATATTTTCTATTCAAAGGATCTTGAAGGATCAGTGATGTACCTCATGGCTGGATGTCTGGCTTACCAGTTTTGTTGGTGTTTTTGTTTTTGTTTTTTAAAAAGCACTCATGTTTTAGGAATTTTGGTGTTTTTTTTCCTCCTGAACAGCTACCATTGAGAAGGAAATGAGAAAACTATTTAATATCCCAGCTGAGAAGGAAACTAGATTATGGAGCATGTATATAAATAACACTTATGAGCAGCTCAGCAGGCTGGATAGCACAGTGCAAGATGCAGGTCTCTATCATGGTCAGGTAAGGGGCATAACTTCTTAGATGCTCATGTACTGCTTTCTCTGATATGTTTGGTTTTTTTTTCCACTTGCTTTTATTACTTTGAGGAAACATTGAAAATGTGATTTGTTAATGATTTTGAAAAATGTGTAGCAGTTTTGCAGTTACTTTATTACCTGAATTCTCTTTCAGGTTGTTCTAATAGAAGTCAGAAATGAAGATGGCACATGGCCAGGACAGCATTTCTTGGCAAAGTAAGTAAGCAAGCAAGCATGTTCTAATGGGTTCTGCTCTTTTGTCAAGCTTGTTCACTTCTTCTTAAGGACCTTGTGTTCTCTATGAAGCCTTATTATTACTGGCTATTGTGGATTTCTTTGTTTTGGTTATTTTAAAGGAGGAGACAGAATCCTGAATATAATATTTATAGAATGGTTTGGGTTGGAAGGGACCTTAAAGCCCATGTAGTTCTAACCCCCTGCCATGGACAGGGACACATTTCACTAGATAAGGTATTTTTCAGTGGTTTTGCTGCTGGTTTCTTGTCTTAGCAACAGTCTTCCCTTCTAAAGCCCATTTCAAACAGGTTGTGTAAGCTTATGGGAGACAGAAGTGCTCTTTACATTGAGCTAGTCTACTTAGAAAGGTACCTCTGCAAACTACATGGTGAAATAAAATCTGGTTTATACCACTGTGGAACAAAAAGTATCTTGGAGTATATTTTCAAAGCTGCCAGTAGTGAATACTTTGGAGTTCTGGTAGTTCCCCCTTAAAAAAAGGGTATAAAAATAGCTTAACAAGGCCCCCTACTGCCCAAGACAGTTAGACGCCTTTAAATATTACACAGATATCTCTAAAACCTAAGTTAGAGATGGATAAGATAGGGCGCTGATTAAATATTATATGTATAGAGTGAATGGTGTAGAATGGAAGTTGCTTGCAATGCTGAAGAACTGCTCTTATCCAGTCATACTACAGAAAGTAAAATCCTGTGATTTTACTAGTCTGACCTACTCGCTTTCCTGTGAGTACACCATCAGACTTGATATTGATAAAGAAAATGTTTTTCTGTACAATACAGTTAAATTGTAGAGCTTGCTGTCAAGTGATCTTATTTGAGATCAGCATCTTACTAGTGTTAAACTTGAAGAATGGGTAAGATAAGTCAGTGAAATCTTTTTTGAAACAGTTCTGTACTTCTGAGATGTAAAACTGGGTAAATTGATCAGGAGAATGTCACACGATTATAATGAGCTTTCTGTAAGAGTACCCTGTGAAAAGCATCGAAACACTTGTATCATGTACACAATTGAGTACTAGTTGATAGTATTATAGAGGCAGCTGTGCAAGAGCAGATCCATGTGAAGTAAAGCTAAAAAGGAGCCCTATAGCATTTCCAGGCCTGTCTTGACTTTTTTTTTTTTTCCCAGCATCTACTGACAGGTAAATTTCTAGTGATACTTGAATGAAAATAGTTATCAGCATGCAGGTTAATATTTTCTAATGATGTAGAAATAAAGATTTGCTTATTATAATGTAGAACTCATTACACTGTTTGAATCGATGCTGATAATGGTGGCTGAAAGAACTGTAATAAGTCATACATCTAGTATTATCTGTTCCTTCGTACTTCTTCTTGGCTAACTATTTCCTTTGCTCTTATCTCTGTTAGTTAAGAAACTAAGCATGTATATTTCACGCAATGTCTTCCTTATGCAGTTGGGTGCATTGGTTGAGCAAGTTCTGCTCTCTGGCTCTTGTGCCCTTTTTTAGTCTTGTAGGTTAAATGCATAATAGATGTTCAGAAACACTGTTTGGAAAGCCAAAGAGGGAAAGAAGCTGGACTGCCCCTGCTCTTTGGGACTGATTTGGTCTGTGCTGATTGGCACACAAACTGCTCATCAAATGAGAAGAACTTTTCATGTGGCCAGGGCAAAGACTGTCTCAGGAAAGCAGTACGCTTTGCTGGACTAATGCTGTGCCTTGCTATGCCAGAGGTGCCTGTGTCTGGTAAGGGCAAGTCTGGTAGAAAGATTGGGCTTCAGAATTCTTTGTGTTTGAAATAGAAGGAGGAAAAAGTTGAGAAGTAACTACTTCATAGACATTCAATAATAGGAGATAACAAGCAGTAAGTATTTTCCTGTTAGGTTCAGTGATGTTTTCTGTGCTGTTTTATGTCTTTAAGTTACTCATATTGTTGCCTTGATAACCCCAAAACCACATATGAATCATACATATCCTGTTGAAAATAATGAGGAAGGCTGTATGGGATCTGGACCAGGTGTGTCCACTGGCCTGTCCTGTAGAGTGGGCAGTAGCAGACACATGTAGGAGGAGTAAAAATCATTCCCTGTAATAAGAGGACATAATTAGCAATGCGTATGCCATCATCTACTGCAGTTTTCTGGTAGACTTCAGCTCAGACTTTATCCAAGATGACTGAGTCTGGATATTTGTTGCATGTCATCAGTCCCCGTCAAACTTGAGTGGGCTGGTCCCAGTCTAGACTGGGTAATTTGTAGATTGTAAGTTTTCTTTCTGCTGGTCTTTAAAGGTGTCCAGGCTTTGGCTGGGTTAATTTTCACAAGAATCGGGGAGGGTGCACAGCCACGATAGCCAAACTAGCCAAGGGGAATATTTGATACCGTATGATGTCAACCCAGTATATAAACCGGAGGGGCTGGGGGTGAGGCGGGGAGGGTGAGTAGGGATGGTGGCTCAGGAATGGGCTGAGCATTGGGTTCTGCGTGGTGAGCAAGTGTATTGTTCACCACTCGCTTTGTATATTCTTTTATTGGTAGTACTGTTATTATTACTTACTGTCTCCTTATGTTGTCCTATTAAACTGTCCTTGTCTAACACATGAGTTTTTTACCTTTTTGTTCTGATTTCCCTCCCCATCCCACTGCAGTGGGGAAAAGTGCGCGAGTGGCCGCGTGGTGCTTAGTTGCTGGTTGGACCTAAACCATGACATAAGGGTTATGTCACAAAGCTTTGTATTTAAAAAAAAAATAGTGAAGGTGTATTTTTTTGATTACATAATATATTCTTGGTGAGTAAGTTAAACTTAACTCTTTTGAATCATTGGCATTGCTCTGTATTAATGCATTTATGATCACTTCCAAAGTTTATTTGGTTTCCTTTACTTCTTCATATAAATGTATAAATAAATACTTAATGATGTGTAGTTTGTAATTTATTTGCTGTTACTCTCTGGCTCATTCTCATGTTTTATTGAGAATCCTTCATTTTTTCAAGATACTGTTTTATTAAGAGTAGCTTCATGTTTCATTTAGTTTTGACTACACTGTCTAAATTCCATTTCCTTATAAAGTTGAAACATAGGAAAGGAGAGTGCAGAGATTTCTTATTAATCTTGGGTTGAGTCTTTTACATAAGCTAATCTTGGAGCAGTGTGGATTTTTTTTTTCCCCTCCCTTGGAGAGCAGTAATTTAAGAAATAACATCATTAATGAAGCTTTTCTATATAATCAAGAAATGTAGCTGCTTGTTTAACCATGTTCTTTCATTTGCCAAATATCTCAGCAGGGGAACGTCAAATGAAAGCATACGTTTTCTGAGTTGATGTTTAAAAATTTTTTTCTTTAGTTCTGGAAACATCAGAAGTCTGTGGTGCAGTGAAACGTTGGCAACGTTCTAACTGTTTCTGTGAGCTGTTAAAAGACTCATGAACTTGGAGCATAGGGTTCAAATCTCATTACCAGGTTGGGACGTGGTTTGTCTTCCCCCAGGTGTGTGTGTGTGTGCATTTAGATGCTGCATTAAATGAACGTTACGTGTTTTAAGACTCCAGATAAATGAGTTTGGTACAGAGTTGTAGGGACTGTTTGTACGTGTAAGATCTATGGATGGTTGTGAGCAACTGAAGCAGTCAGTACTGTTGAGAGAGGAAGGCGGAGAGAAGGGTGGCCAGAGAGAAGATGTGGAGTTCCCAGGCCAGAAGAGTATTGAGAGTCTTATCCTGCTCACTGATGAGGTGTTTGGGGAAGGTTATCCTGTATTAATATTTCAGAAAATACTTCTGTAGTGAAGGAGGTTCTTGTCTGTAGGAAAGAATTGGTGCTTGTTGGAAGTCAAAGCCGATACTGAGAGTGAGTTGGAAGTTGCATTAACAGCATAGTGAGGAAGGATAAGTGAGACTTAGACCCCGCAAACCTGTTCTGCTCTTTTGAGAGGCTCAGCGAGTTTGTAATGCTGCTAAGCTTTCTAAATAAACTTGCAGTTTGAAGGTGTGAAGAACTGGAGTCGTCCTAGGTGCATCTGGTGTCAGCAGGAGCTGTGAATGCTCTGTGCCGAGGTGTGGTTTGGAAGAGAGTTGAGTAACTCCAGATTTTAATCCTATCTCAGGGACACGTTTTGTTCCCATATTCTGTTTCTCAGCTGCAGAAAATACTGTTTAGTGAAGACCGTGGGGAACTTCGTATTTGGAGATCTTTCTTTGGGCCTTATCACTGTAATCCTACAAGCTCATGTATGAAAGATTTTCCTTATGTAGGGTTTTGATGGCGCACAGAAATGGGATGTAGAGCTCTGCTGTTGGTGGGGAATAGTGAGCATCTGCGTTGCTGCCTGTGTGCCAGAAGAGGCCCCAGGAAGCTGGAGTTCATGTCATTCGCTATTTGCAGAACGTGTGTGTGTGTGTGTGTGCAAGGTGCCTGTGGGGTGGGTGGGTTCCCTGTTGTGAGGTTTTTTCCCCACTGTTTGCTGCTTGTCAGAGACAGTCCTTTTTTGTGCCCAACTTAGGGTAAGAACAGATCTGACCAAAGCATGTTAAAACAAATTTGTTGTATGCATTTCTTGTATTAGTTAAATAGTTGCTGATTGCAACATTGCTTTATTTGTTCATGTGGTGTTATGTCAATCCTTATGCACACTTTATAGTCCCTGTGCTGATGTTTATCACCTCTTGGTGAGGCATCAGGACTGCCGTTTTGCTGTGGTGGGTAATGTTGACTTATGATGTGATTACATTACTGGTCATGAGGTTAAGCTGGTATTTGTATGTTGTATTGTCTTCATGCCCTTACCCCTTGTGTCTTCTATCAGTTTATTAGATATTGCTCCCAATCTGTGGGTGAGACAGGAGGGAATGCTTTCACCTCCTTTTTTTCCTTCAGTCTAATTACAGCAGCTTTTGAGAATTTTGAATATCCTTGGGATGTTCAAGCCAGCATGCTCTTATTGCTATGTCTCCTGAATGTGTTTCAGGTTTTGTTCAGGGTTACAAAAAATTGAG